GTCTGCTCCCATATGAAATGGCCGAGAACGAAGACTGCCTTTCTCGCTCGAGTATAACGATATATGATCATGAATGTCCTGGCCAAATACATTCATGGCGCTAGGGAGTTGTATTCGGAGGATAACACAGGTGGAGAGAGACTGGGAGGAGTGTCTTTTATCCAATCTTGGTAACCTTCTAATCCATTTCTGCCTCTTCCCCTGCCTTTGCCTCTTCCTCTTTCTCTTCCTCTTCCTTCCTCTTCCTGTTCTTCTTCCGCCCTCTGCCTCTGCCTCTGCCTCTGCCTCTGCCTCTGCCTCTACATCTGCCTCTGCCTCTACCTCTACCTCTGCCTCTGCCTCTGCCTCTCCCTGTTTCCCTGCCTTTGCGGCTCTCCTAGTCGTAAAAATTCTGTACTCAGGACATGATAGGATGCTTGACCATACATCTTCTCTGCACCTCTCTCTTACGCTAGGTTCACCAATAGACCCGATTCATTTTGCAAATCCCTATCAGGTCTAATGCAGTGGGAAAGTCACTACATTGCCTGTTCTCTCTCTGTCTCTGTATGTCTGTGTCTGTGTCTGTGTCTGTGTCTGTGTCTGTGTGTTACATGCTGCGCCTGCACACGAGGGCCATTTTCCAGGCCCTGCGTCCCACAGGCTGAAAGCCTGAAGACCAGGCCTACAGGCCCCGTGACCAGTCAGCTCGAAAGCCTGGAAAACAGGGGCCTACGGACCGTGTGTCGTTTCAGACTAAAAATGGCAGCAGCCTTTTTACCCTGAGACGAAGGGCCATTTCCAGTCTGTCATCAGACCGGCCTGCCCTGAAACTCAGGCACCGAACCAGGGTTTTAGGAACAGGCTATTTTTTGGCCTGTTCCCACGACAGCTGCAGCGCCAGCCCCTGGCTCTGTTCGGCATTGGCAAGAGCAGCCTCCTGGACTGCCCACCCTGCCACTGCAGGCAGGCGGAGGCAGTCAGGAGGCAGTCCGAGATAGTACATAGGGACTTCCCATGCACTTCACGGGTAGGCAGGAGGCAGTCAATCGTCTTCAGGATTCGGCTGCAGCACTCTGGAGGGAGCGCTGGAGGAGTAGTAGCGTTAGCATTAGTCTTCAGCGCTGGGCGCCAGTAGGTAGCTGTAGCCTTCAGCGCTGGGCGCCATAGCTAGGATAGTACTAGAGAGAGAGAGAGATTGGGCGGAGGCCAGGAGTACCTACCTGCAGCGCCCTTGCTCCAGCTTCGTCTTCGAGGTACCTGCAGCACAGCGCCAACTTCACAGGTTAGTATCTGGCTCGTGGCAGAGAGAGAGAGTTCTTCTTCTTCCTCTACTCAGTCCACCATCTCCCTCTCACCCTCTCATTATCTGACTTCACTGCATCAGCAGACTACGAGAGAAAGAGAGAGAGAGAGCTTGGTGACAT